CAAGGCCCTTAAAGGAGTGGGGAGGATGGCAGAAGCCATCAAAGGCAACAGACTACCAGCCTTACAGGACATCTACCAGTCCCGCTGCCTCAGGAAGACCAAAAAGATCCGGTCAGACAGCAGCCACCCAGCACACAGCCTGTTCACCACCCTGCCATCAGGCAGGAGATTTCGTAGCATACAGGCTAGGACAACCCGGTTAATGAACAGTTTCTACACACAGGCTGTCAGGCTTCTGAACAAGCTGTGAAGCTGTGGGTCCTTCACCAATTACCATTTCACTCAGTCACTTTGTCAGTATTGTTATTATATCATATCATCTCTGCTATGGACAATAATACTTTAACACTAAGCCACTTTAAAGAACAATAACACAGTCACTTAAGTCACTTTAAAATGTATATTGCCTCTATATTTTGTGTATATTTCTCTATATTTGTGTATATTTTTATCTGTATTTTCTCTATATTTTGTGTATATTTAATATATTTCAGTTAGTTTTTCTTGTAATTTTATTTTTACTTATTTACTTTCTGTAGAGTGTTTGTCTGAGCCTCACCACAAGCATTTCGATGCATAAATGTGCTGACATGTTGTGCATATGACAAATAAACTTGAAACTTGAAACTTGATGTGTGTAAGTAAGTGTATGTTGAAAGTCATGTGGTGTTTCCCATACAGTCTTTGAAATTCAATGACAAATTTGTTAAGAGCCAGTTCTGACATCAAGATGCTTCTAGTCTTGATCTTATCCTGCAGTAATGTATATACGCCCAACACCAAAAGGAACAAATGATTCCAAAATCTGGCAGGGAGTATGCCTTTCAAGACAGGCAGAGCATAAAAGAGAAGAAATGCTCGCCACTCTGAAGCTTTCCAGAACTTCCTTTCACTCATTGACCTTGGTGTCCTAGTTATCTCAACGAGAGGTTTTATTTTTAGTCGCAAATCAACCTCTTTAATCTGTTTGCCAAGGTACCAGGGGGCTTTACTGTTTCCTGTATCAAACCACAGTTGCCGAGTGACTCCTTCATTAAAGAAGATGGCCCTTTACAAGAGTCACATTGAGAGGGACAGTCTGCTCTAATGCCAAGGTATTTTAAACAAAGATGGGATAAGACCTGGAAACATTATGTTAAACATTTCCAGTAAGTGAGTAAGTGCTTCACCAGTTAAATTATGTTGTAGCAGACAGGACATCAGCATCAGTACACTTTCTCCTTTTGAAAGAGGTGCACCAGGATACAAGGCCGTGTCACCAGTATCTGCTCTATCTTCACTAACCTGGAGAGAGAAAGAGACAGAACCCAAAGATGTAAAAACGTGAGCCGCTGCAGAACGAAGCAGGAATATCAGTCCAATATGTTGTTTTTTTACAAAATGTAATTTTCTAGAAATACTTGCTCTGGGTTATCACAAAATTAATGATATTTTCATCATATTCTACAAAGATGCAAATCCAAAAGAAAGAGTAGCTAAGTGTATGTGTACCCATGCGTTTAACTTTGGAGTCTTGGGTTATGCAATTACCCAGGCACGCTATGAGTCCTAATAGTGACAAAATATCCTTATTACTTTGTTTGTGCTCTCCTGGGCTCATATTGTATCCAGGTAACTACACAACCCAAGACGCTACCACACTTCAGTTCCGCTTTAAACAAGCTATTATCTACTCCCTACATGTGCCCAAACAGTGCAGGAGTGATACCACATTGCTGTACAGCAAAATGTAATCCATGACTTTTGTTTGACTTGTTAACAAAAATTCAGAATTTTAGGAGTTTGGTAGAGAAACTGAATTCCATGTTTACAGATGCTTTTTGAAATAGTCTGATATTCAGAAAACTCTTCACTACTACCTGCTTCTTCAACTCCACCTCCCACAACAACGCAATAAAGCATTATGTAAGGACAAAACTCTAAAAAAATGTTTGCTAGGCAATGCACTGTGGTTCCCCCAGGTGATCTAGGCACAGCACATATCTATGTCTGCTGAGGTAAACAACTTCTACATGGCTATTTTATATTGTCTACGAATGCGCTCATTTAATGTAATGGTCTTCTTTACATGAACTATTACACTTAACTCCTACCACCATGTCACTGAACCATTTACTACATACCCCTGAAAATTCAGATGTGTTTTCTCCACCAGTATTGCCCTCCATCAAGTCTTCACTATCCACATCGTTTCCAGCTTCACTCCTGGTAGCATCAAGCATGCTCCCTTTAGAATCTGACAGGTCTTCCTCGTTCTACAGGTTAACAAGGGAAAAAGATGACTTGAAAGAATATAAATGAATTAAAAGGATAGGTATTTATTTAATCCAAGGTAAAAAACTGTGTGATGTATAATTATGTATTTACCTCTTGAATGTCAGCACCAAACAGGCTAGTTGTGCAGTTTTCTTTGTCCATTTCATCTTCTTCGTCTTCACTGTTGGATGCATTACTCATGTTATCTTCTGTGTTTGTTTGGTCGTCTTCATTGTCGCTCTAAAGGTTCACAAAGAAAAGAGAATGAAAAACTGAATGAATGGCAGAATATCAGTGAACTTGTGCAGGCCCTCTGCTGCCCCTGGCTTGGTGCATGTAGGGAGAAAGTGAGTAGTGGGAGAATGGAGTCTGTTATTTGGTCACAATATAGTGGAATCTTTCTGTAGGGAGTAAAATGCAAATACCACTGCAATCCACTAACTACATGTAATATCTGACAAATTCTGACATTTTGGCGTGAGGACAGCGCTGGACTTAAGGTCATAGAGCGCTGTGAAAAAGTATTTGCCCCCACTCAAATTCTTCTATTTTGCTGTACATACAGATCACATTTAAATATTTCTGATCATCCAACAAATTTTAATGTAAGATAAAGACAACACAAGTAAGCACAAAACTCAGCTTTTAAATGATCATTCCATTTACTGAAGTTAAAGATTTATTCAAAACCTATATCGCCCATGTGAAAAAGTTACCCACCCCAAGCCTAATAACCAGTTTTGCCACTCTTGGCAGCAATAACTGTAACCAAACACTTGTGATAACTTGCGACGAGTCTTTTACATCACTGTGGAGGAATTCTGGCCCATGCTTTCAAGTGTGACAAATAAGAAAAAATAGAAGAAATTGGGAAGGGGGCAAATACTTTTTCACAGTACTGTAGGTTCAACACACTTGACAGGGTCATCCTCAGAGGAGCATGAATGTGCTCACCAAATTTTATGCAATTGGCCCTGCATATTTTCTGATTTGTTGTCTTGGAGCAATGAGTTGGATAAAATAACAATGCCAGTAGACAAACTGCAATTGTGTATTTACCTGTATTATGTCAGTCCCCAACAGACTAGTTGTGGAGGAGTTTCCACTGTCCACTTCATGATCATCGTCTTCACTGTTAGATGCATTACTCATGTCATCTTCTGTGCTTATTCGGTCATCCTCACTGTCGTTCTAAAGGTTAACAAGGGAAAAATGTGAATGGTGACATGTCAAGGAACATTTAAAAAATAGCAGGTTTTTCTTGAACCACACTTAATAGACTTTGTTTGGATGTTTGGATTAAACTGTTAATCACTAAAGGGTGTCAGACACTGTTTACATGCAGGAAATTGTGATAAGTGAAACAGTAAAAATAAGGTAAAAGTTTATTTGATTTGAGGACAAATGTACATAAAAAATATATAGTACAGTATCAAAGAACATGAGTAATTTACTGTTGTAATAAGATGAATAATGCTCTCTATGAGGCCTGGGCGATATGCACAAAATTAAGTATCACAATGTCTGAGTGAATACCTCAGCATCGATATTGTGATGATACTGTAAGGAGGACAAATGGTGCTTTCATGAGATATTTACACAAATACATTTTTAATAAACATCCATTAGCAACGTGAATAAGAATGGTCAAGCAAGAAAGTAAAAAATGCTGACATAGTACTGCCACAGTAGGTGTAATATGTAAATACCTCTTCAACATCCTTCTCTAAGTCTTCATTGCCCAGTTCATTTATTTCATCTTCACTGTTGGAAGCGTTCCTCCTGTCATCTCCAGTATTTCTTGGATCATGTTTATCGTAGTTGTACTTGTAGACAAGGAAAGACGGAAAGGGTAAGAGGCAGTGTCAAGAAATAAAAAGGCAGTAATTTTTTTCCCCGAGGTTAATATTACTGAATAAATATTAAGAACACTTTGCAGATGCATCCAAATTATGTTGTGCATCACACATAGTGCATCTCAAAAAACATATTTTACTTTATTACAGCTCTCTAAATGTATGTGTGTAGTATTTTTAATGTCTGCTTATTACCAGGTGTATATTTAATGAATAAAACAACTATAAATAAGTGTAAATAATACACTAATACAATATAAATCATTAGTTGCAGCCCTTGTGTCAGCCTCCAATAAGCATCTCTCATACTGACCACATTTAGCAAACTGTCTTCATCATCTTTAGTATTTGCATGTAACCAGTCATCTTCTTGGCTTCTCTATATTTATAGAAAAAGAGACACACAGATATATTTTAGTAATATAGCTATTGTGCTGTGCTGTTTGTAGTGATTTCTCATTATGATGCACCGCGATACACATAAAATAAAGCATTATAACAAGAAGCAAAGTTCTGACAGGCGAGCACGTTACAAGTTACAGTTGCCTGTCTGTGTTAATCTGACTTTGAACAGAAATAAAAGTAGTCCTAAGTCTTGGTGTAGTGAACAGTTATTTCTGTGCATCCTATGTGTTACCAAAGTTACTCACTTTTGCATCCCATCTGAACTTGGTTCTCCTTGGAATTCTTTCCGTGTCGCTCTCCAAGTATCTTTTGAACGACAAACGGGACCGAGAGCAGCTGGATCGGAGTGATCTCCCGCGTCCTCCACAACTATCGAATCCTGAACTCCTTTTCGACGCGGTCACGCACCTCTCGCGATAGCAGGCCATTTGAATTGTGTGTGCGCGCGCGCATTTCACCTTTGACCGTTAAGCTTTGGTGGGGTTGAGGGGCACCGGTTTACATATACGAACAATAAGGAAAGCTAAACGTCATTGTCAGTGATAATATTTATCCATCACAATGGCATTTGACATATATTATTTCAAGGACACGACCGTGGAAGTCGGAAAATTTGACTGGATGAGTGTTGAAGACCAGCAGTGTAACCTACATCTTCACAAATGATCACACAGTGCCCCAGACTCGATGATGAGGATGGGTGGATAAATGTGGGACAAAGGCAGAAAGAAGAAAGATGGTCCAGGCTTTTTTCCTGCAAAGGTTTTAATGCTCAGTGGTAAGTAAGTATAAGTTCGCTAGCGATTGACTTTGGCTATGTCGACATTAATACGTTTTAGTTTTAAAACGCATCACTTTTGCGAGCTTCGTTTACTGGCGTTTTAACCTATATCACTCCGGAGTTTCCGAGCCCCCTTTTGAAACGCTGCTAGCCTCGTTTTAGCCTCCGGGGAGGCCCCGGGGTTGCGTTTTAGTTTGGACGGGCAAATTATCAAATATATCTTAACAATATAAGTTAGCTAACGCTACATATCGGAGATTGTGCGTCGGTTTTTGCCAGTTGTGAAGTTTTTATCCCCAATTTGTTACGCTTCGAGATTATGTTTACTAACCAGCTAACGTTAGCTATGTGGAGGTCAGTAGCTAATGTAGTTAGCAAGCTGGTCTAGTCACATAGCTAGCTAGTGCTTGGTGCTCCATGCATCTTAACAGTTTCACTAACTACATTAGCTAGCTAACATTCCCAGCTTGATTGTGTTAACGTTACTGGATTTAGTAAATTTCATGTACAGCAAGTCTTTTTGATCTTCTTATGCTAGCTAGCTTCTAGTTTTGACCTCCTTGTGATAGATTGACGGTTATCGACTGTGTGTAGCAACTAGGCAGCAGACTTCAGACAGCTAAGCTAGCTAGCTAGCCAAGTTAGCGTTAACTAACTAGGTGCACACCTGAAATAAACGTGTTTTTCTTCAAAGCCGAATATCCAAAATTGTCAAATTGTCTCAATGAGTGTATAAAGATGTATATGTTTTAAATATGTACACAACCGCAGGTTTTTACAACGGGGATTTTGAGTATAATCACTACGTCAGAAAATAACAGCCATAAAAATCCATTTTCACCATGTTTTTAGAAATAAAATGTTATATAAATGAGACTATAAATGATATATGAGTAAACCCCTCTTTAAAAACCTTCAGAATATATGAAGGAATAAAAAGTAGGAATGAAACGGGAAGATTCGGTGTATGTCAGTGCTACTGAAGTGGAGGTTTCTGGCTCAGTGTAAGAGGGAAAACTCATTTTGAGAAAACGACCTTTTAGGATGCATTGTAATTGAAATGTACAGACTCAAATAGACAAAGTGTAGTGAAATAAACACTTAAACGTGTATTGTGGTTATTTACATGTTGTAGAAGCAAAAAACCCCAAAATCTCAAAATAGACCAGTGCATGAAAAAACATTGCTTTGCCTCAAGTGTCATGCCTTATGTTACCAGCAAGTCTGTTAGGGAGTGCTCAAAGGCCCATATACCCTGAGGACCCAGTCAGCATTTTATTTCGGTCATTGTGCCCAACTTTTTCACAACTACAGTGACCTCTGCCAGAAGAGGGAGGAATTCATAAAGGGTGTAGATATCTGGAACCAAACACTCAAGAGGAAGACCAAGCCAAACAGTAGGTGGATGAAGGACATGAAAGGCCAACAAAACAGGTAATTACATTCACACAGTTAAAGAACAGTATGCAGAGGATTCTGTGTCACCTCTTAAGTGATTCTAGCAAAAAAAATATGCATTACAATACAGACGTGACACATTACTTTCTCATTATTCTTTATTGATGTGTGGAAAACTGAAAAACAAAACCTTCCTTTCTGTTGCTCTGACCTCACTTGGTCTCTTCACCAGAAAATTTGCGTTACTCCATATTTGCAACAACTTGTCACTTAATTCCCCTTAAGAGCAGGAGAGAATTGTGCAACATTAAATGTAATCACTGTCAAACATCTTGAAAAGCAAATCCCTGTTGACTGTTTTTTCAGTAAAGAAATCAAATGTCATCAGAACCATGTAATGAAGGGCTTGCATCTCAGTTTGGCCTGTTTACATCACTATTTAAAAGTAATGCCATTTCTGTGTTGCCTCTCGTGTTTTTTCACTGTTATGATTACTTTGTGATAGATGCTTTATGACAGCTATAATAGTTTGTAGATGTTGTTTGATTTTAATTGCTTATCATAATCCCAGCCATCATGTCAGTGGTATGGAAGTATTTCAACATTTCTGACAAAGACACATTTGTCTTATCTGAAATTAATAGATGGGGTGCATCATCAAAACCTTTTAAACCTTAAGGTTTTTAGCTATCACCATGATGGCTGTTGTGGTTCCCATTTGAGTACTTGGTGGAGTGTCTCCTCATTTACATGTTTTGGCCCAAGAATTTTTACTTAGGTAATCCCTAGGCTGTATTTAAAAAAAAAAAAAAAATTAATCATTTAAAAAAAGTTCTTATTGTTTTTGTAAATCCTGTATTGGTCATTGAACAATATTTTTGTGTCATTATCAGGGCCGTAAATTTTGACAAATGCTATGTAATGGCCTTTTGCTGAGTCTTTGTTAGCCTGATGGATAGGCATGTACACTAAATATTCAGGTAGCACTGGGGAGACAGAAAGTGGATAGTTAAATAAAATAATTGGCAGATTGCACAGTTGTCAAACTTAAAATATTGATTTCTGATTATTGCGGTAAATTATGGATAGGTCAGAACTATCTGTGGTCCAGTTGATTCTAGTAACTACCAAATACTTATTAGAATCAGTACTATTGCACATCCCTGCTATTGAAAAAAAAAATGTATCATTTTGACAGCAAAAGAGCAAAAAGGCAACCTGTACCCCAAAATAAGCAGCAGACCAAATAATTAAAGGCCTGAAGAAGGAGTTGATGGCAAAGCAAGCATCTTTAGAGGTAAATTATTTTGAATATTTACAAATTTTATAGTTTTTTGAGTTTAAAGGAGCAGGTTGTACCCCTAGCAGTGAGGTTGCAAATTGTAACCAACCTGGCATTCACCAGCATCTTGTTCAAGTTTTCTTGTATCGCCATAAATGGTGTTGCAGTTACGTTCTGGTGCCTGAGGCGTTACAACAATAATTGCTGTGCTATTTAAGGTAAAATGGGAAAATTCTAACAAGAAGCTGGCGAAAAAGCTAAATTCGGCCTCATAGCTTTAATGTTGGCAGTACTTTTGAATAAAGAGATTTAAGCTGTTAAAATATTCTACCTGCAGTTTTATGTAGAGCGCTTCTTCTTCTTGCTGTGTCTTCCAGCCAGTGCTATAGTGCACAAATTTAAGCTTCTGCTTCACTGTAAAAGTGCAAAAGGCGCTCTCTACACCTACTGTTTGGTTTGTCTGTTCTGGGCTACAGTAAAAACATGGCGGCTCTGCACTGTTGGAGGAGGACCTGCTCCTATGTGGATTTGAAGGGCTCATTTTCAGCTAATGAAAACACAACAATTCGTAATTTACTGGTAATTTTACACTAATGAAAACAGTTTTGTGTACTATATTCAAATTCTGTTAATAGACCACTCAAAATAAAACACTGCACCTTTAAGCACTGCACTATTTCATCTTGTTTCATTTTTTTTCTGATCATTGTGTTTTGGTGTAGCCAAATACCAAAAAGGAGGAGTCATCAGATGAGGACCTACTGCCCAGTAACTGGAGTAAGGCACAGCAGAAAATAAAGGAGCTTAAAAGAGAGAACAAGAGGCTGAAAGAAGGCAATGTTAAAGAAATATCAGATGCCATGAGAGTTAATTTTATGACTTTTAAGCAATTAAACAATTATTCTGCCTTTGTGTAGGCAACATCTCAATATATATATATATATATATATATATGTGTGTGTGTGTATATGTGTGTATATATACTGGAAAGCAGAGCTTAAGATGGGCAATTTCGGTTGGTCCAGCTGTCCGTCAATACTTAACTTCAAGACATCATATCTCAAAATCTATTTTAATGATTGCGTTTAAATTTGGAAAACACAAAAACACGCTGGCTAGAGGATGAACCCTGATGACTTTGGTGACATCATCCTCTTTCCTTTCCAAAATGTAATAAACCCCATTAACCCACTACCTGCATTCCCCAAGCATCCATCAGTCCAGCAGGTTACCAGTAATGGAGGATGACGTAGAAGTGTTTTAACTGATTTTGTTCATTCTCTTAACAGAGCTTCCTGAAGTAATTTAAAATGTCACATTTCAAACCTCAACTTCTGCATCCAATTGGTCAACATCCACAACATCTGTGGACTCACCAGTTTCTGCACGTGTTTCTCCTCAAGTGTTGTCTAATGATATGGTAAGTACCACATATGGGTATGTTATGGGCAGTGGGCCATGTGTTTCCAACCTGGAAAATCTGCATATTCAGCCGTGGTGAATGTGCATGTTAACTGGATAGGATGCATATTCCCTATCCAAACAGGAAATCTGGGAGGCATTCCCACATTTCCTAATGACACGATTAATGTGGATGGAGATACTACAGAGCAGTGTGGCCAGGCTGGCCCTTGAATGGCAAAGTAGCATTTTGCACCCCATATTAGTCGTTTCATTGGGAAATGTGAGAGGCATTTGGCGGATAATGTCTTAGTTAATATACATGCACAGATTTCCCGGGGAATGTGTATCATTATTTTGTCATTACTTAAGTGTGTAACAATGTGTGACCACTTTCAAACTAACTGTTCCATCAATTGTTTTGCAGGTGTGTCTTCTGCCAGGCTCTGATGTTGAAGTCCCTAGACGAAAGCTTAACTCTGCGGACGGCAAATCCGTCAGTGTACATCGGGGACCTTGCTGTGCTTGTCTATGGCAGGGAAACACTGTCGCATTCAAGTTTGACGGGGAGACAGTCAGAGGCACACAAAGACGTGGAATCAAAAGCACAACTGGATAACACAAAACTTGATGCTATAATTGGTGACTGCATTTAATTAAAGGGAAATTTCTTTTTGAAATAAATTCCTACACATCACTTATGTATAGTTTTTACAAAATCATTGCAGTGTTCCATTTTGGATGTGACCGTGATAGAGTTCAGTTTCTGTCACCTTCAACATGGAACAAAAATGGAACATTGCGCGAAAAGCCTCTAATTAGAGCAACAAAAATGCAAAGAAAACGTTTTGGCCCTTTCCCGCCTAGTTCTATCCAGGTGAACTGACATAGTCTGTTCACAAATACATTATTCTCTGCTTAAATAACACGGTTATTTACATGGTTATCAGGCTCACTGTGAAGTAACTATTTTTTAGGGCTATTTTTTATATATATATATATATATATATATATATATAAAATAGCCCTGCACAGCAAGATAAAGTGGTGGGTCCAGTCAGACTTCTACCTAATAATCTGCAATCATCAGTTCAGATTTGTTAATGCGGCAAAAAATAAATGTAGTCATTTTGCTGATGGCATTAGTGTTAAGATACTTACCAAAAAAAATTTCAAATATCATGTAGAAACATGCCACATTGACTGTTGTTGTGTTCATTCTGGATGGTGAATTTGGGGTGATATAAAAAAAAAAAACGTGAAAGTAACACATTGTGTCCTAGGTAGAGATGAAACGGTTACCGGTTTCACGGTAAACCACGGTAAAATTAATCACGGTTAGTAGTACCGTTTGAAATTTAAAGTAAAAATTATTACCGCGGTGTGAAAACTCGGAGATTCGGAGATATTTCAGCCTTCTAAGAAGACCAAGTCTGACGTTTGGTCATATTTTGGGTTTTATAAGGATGCAGAAGGAAAGTTAATTGAAGATGACCACCCTGTCTGCAGAACATGCCGAAAGAAAATAGCGGCGAAAGGGGGCAACACATCAAACCTTACGAGTCATCTTCGCGACCACCACCCGCTACTTTTTAGATTATGCAAGGTTAACTTTAACGTAGAAGTCTGTGGGGACTTCGAAATAGAAGAAATGTCACGGTTTGTGTGGTTTAACCTATGCTTATGGTTCGTTAATCATATAAAATGAAGCTTTTAGCGTCAAAAAAAAGAAAAACAATCGGTGAATCAACTGTGAATCGAAACTAAAGCTTTTAACACATTTCTGTGGAGCAGAGTCTCCAAAATGAGCTCTGAGTTAACAGTCACACGAGCTCTGGAACGAGACGCTGCAGAGGTTCAATCTGCACAGCTCCCCTTCCTCGTCTCGCTTGCAGTGTTTACTGTCTGAGAAGAGAATAACACCGTCTCAAATCACTCAGTGTCCCCTACATAGTGCGCTACTGTTCAAACAAACACGATCATCATTAACAAGCAGTTGAGTTTTAAATAGGGGATTTGTAACCTGTTGATTATAGATGACTTAGTCGAACGTTTCTTGCACTCTTTGGGTGAAGGATTTGCTATTTCATGATCCACGAAGTGCACTGCATAGGGGAGATAGTGTGCTTTGAGACGGGACCTCGCGCGAGTGAACGCTGTGCCGCTTTTGGGAAAAGCAGAGTTTCCGAGATTAAACTTCAGGAGTGTTTCTGCCACAGCTCAGATGCATGTTAATTTTAAGTTCTGTTTTAGTTTTAAAATGCTTTTAGAGAAGCAGCTCCACAGGTGAAGACACACTGTGTGAGTTCTACACTGTCTGCAGCTCACAGCGCGGTCACGCAGTTCCTCTGTGATTTTGGCTGTTTTTCCAGGTGCACTGTGTTGATTAGGGGTACAGCACCACAACGGCACAATAATGCTGCAATTGCAGTTAGGACAGAAATCCCCCGAGTGCAGCACTTCTTAGAAGTAGTAATTTTCCATTAAGACCCACCTCAGAGTTGGTCGAGATTTAATTCTCTATGCAGGGAAATCCCTAGTTATTGTAATTAATAATAATAATAATAAGAAGAAGAAGAATAACAGTAATAATAATAATAATAACTCTAATAATAATACATTTGCTATTCTTTTGTTTACAGAGTATTACAAGTATTGTAAGTAATACAAAAGTAGTACTAAAAATGTATTGACCTTATTTTTTAATGTTTATGCAAATAAAAAGTGCATATTGCTGCCAATTCTATTTGTGTTAATATAAAAGTTGGTGAAACGAGTTTCAGTTTGTGTATCAGTATTTATTTTTTATTTATTTTACTTTTCAAAACATTTGAACAATATCGCGATAATACCGATAATCGTGATAATTTTGGTCATGATAATCGTGATATGAAATTTTAATATCGTTTCATCTCTAGTCCTAGGCCATGCTCTATCAAAGTTCCCTGACATCAGCGTCCAAGACGTGAGATGTATCATAAGAAAAAATGCAACAACGAAACCTATACCAGGCAAGCCACTGCAAAGAAGACCAAGTGAAAAGAACTTTTTTTCCCCATTTAGTTGAACATTTTTTGGTGGGATTTGTGGTTCCTCAGGATGGCCATTTAACAGAGCAGAAATTGTAGAGAGGTACAAAATTGCTTGGGGGCAGCCAGGGACTGATGTTGTAGAGGCTGCATGTCGCAAATTCTAATATCACACTTACACATGTTTGTTCTGCTTTGTTTGGAAAAGTCATCCAGTACAATATTTGTTTTGATAAATTTGATTTATAAAATAAACAAATGTTCTTAATCCTGAGTATGTCTTGTTTATTTTTATATATGTAGTCCACTGGTCTACTTAAAGTACAGTTAAAGGTATAAGTATAAAAAATAATACCTAAATCGAAACTTAGTATTCTTTAAAGTGCAAAAATATGTAAGTAGTAAACTATAAGTATTGTTAAGTTCACTTAAAGAAAACTTCCAAGTATACTTGCAGTATAAAAACCACTAAACTAGTAGTTTACTGAGAGTATACTTAAAAGTGTACTTTCATTAACTAAAAAAGTGGGATATAAGTAAATAACTAGTAAACTAACAGTATACTTGTAAGTTCACTTTTAGTACAGCTCATAGTATAGTTGCAGTACAAAATAAAACTTAAATGTAAACTAGATGCGTACTCAAATTTTACTACTCTTACACTTAAAGGATACTTAAGGTATACTTTCATAAACTGAAAAGTGGACTAGTATTACATAACTAGTAAACTAACAATATATGTAGGTTTACTTGCTTTATACTTGAAAGTATACTTTCATAAACTAAAAATGGGTTAGAAGTTTATAACTAGTACCTGTAAGTTCACTTATAGTGTACTTCAGAGTATAGTTGCAGTACAAAAAACTTACATGTAAACTAGTTTTGTACTCAAAGTTTACTACTCTTACACCTAAAGTATATTTATAAGTATACTTCAATAAACTAAAAAGTGGGCCAATTTAGTCCCAAGAAGTACTGAAAGAGTACACTTAAAAGTATACTACTAGTACATTGATATTAGTATACTTACTACATAAAGTATACTTTGGAAATATACTTGAACTTTACTTAAGTTTACTTAATAAAATGAACTTGAAGTGTACTTTTTTTGGTAAGGGTTGGTTGGTTTGCATCCTTCAGATGTCTGTGTTTCAGTTAGAAGTATCATCAAACCCAGTCTAAATCTCGTACTGTCTAAACAGTGTGTTATGTGAGTTTTGAAATTCTAGCTTCTACAGCCAAATAGTGCACTGTTTGTCCAGTATAGATGTGGCTGAATCCAAAATGATCTTCAATCTTCATAATTTTCTTTTTATTAATATTCAACGCTCCAAAATTTGTAAACAATTTAAAGCCCACAATTTTTGAGGCACAACCATAAAACTTGGCACAGAAATTCATCAAACACAATATTGCCAAATCTATTCACTCACTCGTCCAAATCATTGAATTCAGGTGTTCCAATCACTTCTTTGACCACAGGTTTATGAAACCAAGCACCTAGGCATGCAGACTGCTTCTACAAACATTTGTGACATCATCAAGCGCAATGCAAAGCCTTGAATGCAGTGGTGTAAAGTGCTGCCACTGGACTCTAGAGCAGTGGAGATGCGTTCTCTGGAGTGATGAATCTCGCTTCTCCGTCTGGCAAACCAATGTCTGGGTTTGGCGGTTGCCAGGAGAACAGTACTTGTCTGACTGCATTGTGCCAAGTGTAAAGTTTGGTGAAGGGGGGGATTATGGTGTGGGGTTGGGCTCGGCCCCTTAGTTCCAGTGAAAGGAACTCTTAATGCTTCAGCAGACCAGGAGAGTTTGGACAATTTTATGCTCCTAACTTTGTGGGAACAGTTTGGGGATGGCCCTTTCCTGTTCCAACATGGCTGCACACCAGTGCACAAAGCAAGGTCCATCAAGACATGGATGAGTGAGTTTGGTGTGGAAGAACTTGATTAGCCTACACAGAGTCCTGACCTCAGCCCGATAGAACACCTTTGGCATGAATTAGAGCGGAGACTGCGAGCCAGGCCTTCTCGTCCAACATAAGTGTCTGACCTCACAAATGCGCTTCTGGAAGAATGGTAAAAAATTCCCATAAACACACTCCTAAACCTTGTGGAAAGCCTTCCCAGAAGAGTTGAAGCTGTTGTAGCTGCAAAGGGTGGGCCGACATCATATTAAACCCTATGGATTAAGAATGGGATGTCACTCAAGTTAATATGTGCGTGACTGTCTTCATGATCATGCTAGGTATTCATAGCACATTTTTTTTTCTATATATTTGTATTTTGCTGGGGTTAATCAAACTAAATGCTGATGCAAAGTATTTGCTTTTTTGTTTATTTGATTATTTTCACAGAGATCTGTGTTTCACAGTCAATAGGACCTCTGGATAACAAAATGCAGGTTCATGCTCTTGAAGATGACGGTTACTCTCTCCTGCAAGTATGATGGTAGTGTGGAAAATCTGCAGTGGTATCGTCAGTTTCCTGGATCCAGACCAGAGTATTTACTGATGATCATCCCATCAACACAATCTGTAACTCTAGCGACTTCTTTGCTCCAACGACTGAATGCTACAGTGGATGAAAACAGTGGATCTGTTGATCTCCTCTGCTGCAGTATCAGACACTGTACAAAAAGTGTTCCATATGACTCATGCAGAGCAATACTGTTGTCAGTAGGGGGAGCTGTTTACCCCTTTCCATTTAGACTTTCAGCTTCTACAACACTCAAGTTACAGTGCAAGAATGCTCTTGAAGATAATCCATCATATTGTTGACTACAATCAGCACTGTACAAGTGTTTCATGTGACTCATGTACAACGACAATCCTGTTGTCAGGAGGAGGAGCTGTTTGGCTATTTTTCTTTTAGACCTTCTGAATCTGATTAAGAAGACAAACCGTCATCCTCCTGACTACAATAAACATGTCCTATTTTTATAAAACTTACAAATTTTCCCTGAGTCTAATCATTGGATACACACAAGAACATTTCTCAAGACACATTACATAATAATATTCTGCTATTATTTAAACATTCTGGAGGTAATATCTTTAAAATCTGTTCGTTTTCTAATTTCAAGTTCTTACTACAATTCTGATTCAGATTTTGTTGATTTTTTTTATTTTTTTTTTATTTCATATTATAATCTAAAAGGTTTGCATCAACAGAATGTCTTGACCTAGAAAGCATGTGGATGTAGGCCACTTCTTTTGGAGGTACTTTTGTGCCAAAAGTTTCAAATAAAATAATAAAATCCACAAGCAAAATATTAAATATTAAAATGTTCAGAATATTCTGCAAATACACGTAATGAAATTTTAAATCAAGGTGGCCTTTCGAAAGGACTGAAGTGAGCAAATGTGAATGCCCAGTAAAATACTCAGTACTGAAGTAACAACTATAGTGTTCATGTAAGTCCTGAATACAAATGATCACTAAACAAGTTAAATCAGCAGATATTTTGCTGTCATTCTATATGTTACTGAATATTCCAGTTATAACAAGAGCTAAAAACCTGCATTTTCTGTTAGTTTGAATATTCATTCATTGAGCAATGCATTTGTTTACTTACTTATTGATGGACATGCTATTGATATTTATTGGTGTACATGTGTGTGACTCTAATGCTTCTTCCTGTACTTATATTTCTTTCTAATATTTATATTCCACAAAGACAGAAAGCACAGTGGAGCAGCTCCCCAGAGCAGGAGTTTCCTGTTGTAGGTTCTCATAACTGCACTCACTTCAGAGAGATTCACACTAACACACAGATCAACATTAGAGTTAGTAGTGAAAATGTCTTTCTCTACTGGTACAGACAGTATCCTAACAGAGTTCTACAGTATTTACTGCTGAGAGGAGATTGACGGGAGAGTTATAGCCATACTTCATACAGTAGATTTTCATCAACTACATCCGGTTCGTCCACTAAGTTCACTGTTAGAGAACTAAGACTGTCAGATACAGCTCTCTACTACTGTGCTCTTAGAGACGTAGCCCAGTGATACAAAGTCTTTGAGACGCTTTACCGATTCACACACCTTATGTTTGCTTTGAACACAAGGTGATCAAAGTAACATCCAAACCACAGTGTATTATCTACTATTACATTCTCTCTGAATACAAAAAAGTGAAGCATGGTTGCAAGACATTGCAGTATTCTTCAGATTAAAATGTATGTAGTTTGCACCCCAATCTAATCACTAATAAATCATGTAATAATAATGCAAACTCTAGACTGACATGACTAGATTGACACAAAATGAAAGCATTATCTAATCACAAGAATACAAACATATCTGGATACCGAAGCTACATTTGAAAAGGGTTAAACCTGCCATATCTGGACTAAATTATGATCTGGATGTTACTGTAAAAAGTGAATCTGAAAATGTGAATCAATACAAAAACAGAACACTTTTTAGAACTTGAATTTCGAGAAACTGTACATCAACTGTAAATTTTAGTTACAGATTTACTTTATTTCAAACCTTAATTAACTTTCAGTTCAGAATTCAGATTTTTGTGTTCAAATTCAAATTTCTAATGAATGAATCTCAACTCCATCTCATTAGCTGTGGAAAATACACAGCACTGAATCATTTGCTGTTACAATGTATAGCTGAATTTTCTCTTCATTCACAGAAGCATAATTACAGGAATCTTCCAGCAGAGGGCAGATTTCTTTTTGAAATTCTTTAAGAACTGACAGATGGTGTCATGTGTTCCGGTTTTAGGGGAAACCGAAGTAACGTAAAGCACACACAGCAAAACTGAACTATAATCAATTGCTGTTCAGCCATGGCACGTCTTGGTGGATGGTGGCTTCCTTTTCTCATGTTAGGTAAGATACATACAACTAATGCAGCACTTTTTTTACATAAAAATGTTACATCTCCAAACATGCAGTGGAGAAAGGGTTTAATTTGATAAATGAATCCTTAAACCTACATTTTGAAAAATCTTAATTATGATATATGATTTATCTCTTCAGCAGGTTACACATCTGGTGAGGGAATAGAACCAAGTTCTTCCACTGTCAGTGTTCTACAGGGAGACTCTGTTACTCTGTCCTGCAGTTACAATGGATCTACTACAACTGATGAACTGCTGTGGTATCGTCAGTATTCCAGATCCAGGCCTGAGTTCCTGATCTTGGTCAATGAAGCTAACTTTACACAAAAAGCTGTTCCTCCAGTTGCTGGAGTGTCTGCAAATGTAAATGAAGAGAAAACGCGTGTGGATCTGTTGATCTCCTCTGCTGCAGTATCAGACTCTGCACTCTACTACTGTGCTCTGAGGCCCACAGTGACAGGAAATCATGAAACACTGTACAAAAACTTTTTAGCAGTCAGAACTCAGTAGCATTTAAGAAGGCTTCTGTCTTATTTAATCCCATACCGCATGGGTGCTAAAATTTAAGATGCTGTTCAGGAGCTGAAAGAGCCAGATCTAATCGGTGACCAGTGTGTGTTATTCGTCCTCTGGTCCTTCATCATTGGATCACTATTGGCTGTATATTTTTGGTTGGTGGAATATTCTTAACACAGTAGTGACACAGAGTCTTTACATGCTTGAAAAGTAGAACCAAATCTTTCCTCATTATCTGAACACTGGACAGGAAACCCAGCTACACTGTACAAAAAGTGTTTCATGTAACTCATGCAGGGGGAGCTATTTGCCTTTTTTCATTTAGACTTTCAGCTTTTTAAACCTCTGGGCTAGAATGCTAGATTACTTTGGAAGACAAATCATTATCATGTTGACTACAATAAGCTGGTGAGGCTTTTCTAAACTTTCCAAACATTTATCATATTAGTGTCTAATCAGCAAATACATAGAAAAATGTTTCTGGAGTCATATGACATAATAATGTTCTACCATTATGATACAAACAGATTTGCATTTTACAATGTGTCATGTGATCTGCTGAACCTTTTCCTTTTTTCCTAATTTTAAGTACTTAATATAATTCTATGCATAGACAAAACCCAGTGGCCCTAGCTTCATCATATCATGTCTCAAGCAGAACCCTCTGGGGTCTGAAGGTATTTTCTCAATTCTTGTATATCTTCTTAAATTTGCCGTTAAGGACACTTGCATATAACTTGATACCCATATGTTTCATATCAAAATGCTCTGTTATCTTCATCACTACTACTACTAAAACCACAGCAGCAAATTCAGCAGCTGTGAACATTTTGCACACCATTTGACATGTGTCTCCAGTGTCAAATGAATAAAGAATAAAGGGTTTCCAATGTGATGGGTAAGTCCTCAGTGATTTCTTTCTTGTCCTCTGGTCAATTTCATCCAAAATGTAGACAGACACATGAATCTACCAGTCACACATGGTAAGAGGCAGATAATGTGTTTCTAAATTCGTCTTCATAGCTTCGTAACAGATGTGAGTCAGGATTCAGGGGTGGGGGCATCAGTACTACAAAATCTCTTAAAATTAAAGTACTTTAAAATGATTTATGGCTGCCTTAAACTTTTGTCTTAATTGAACAGCCAACAATAAGTTGAGGGAACAATAAAACTGTGCAGTGTCTTAGATATTTTTGAACACAAACGTAAGCATAATTTCCTGAATTCCTGAGTACCACAACCAGCTTACTGTTGTACTAAGATCAAGATATGGTGAATTTAAATCCTGTCAATGCCAAGGCCATCTGTAGCTAAGAGCTCCAAAGAATGAAGCCTGAGCCGCAGTTCAGTGACCCAGGTGGGGCTGTGAATGTGGAGGCACCAGTCACGAGCAAAGTTGGATCAACTAAATATCTTGTGTTGTTTAACTGAGATAAAGTGTCAGATGAACTCTGGTTCCCCTTAACATAGCTAAAAACTTTAACCTGACCTGACAAATCTGGCAGTAGTGGTTTAAAAGTGGCTGGGATGTGACCCTCTAATGACTACCTAAAACCAATCCACTCAGCATCTAATTCAGCACTGCTTTGCGTGGAGTTAATTTAGACCTTAGGCTCAGATTAGGCCTGACCTGGACTTCAATATATATCTGAAAGAAACTTCAGAATACATAATGAAATCTGACATCATCAAGGCTCTTGCGCTATCTTGTGTTTTCAATGTGTGAGATTCCGTATAGATGTAGGCAGAGAGTTGCTATGAGTGAGTCAGCACGAAATCTAGTAGCAGCAATCCTAAATAGTGAGGAGATAATAACACCCTGGCGAATGCATGTATGAGCCAAAATAATACTGGTAACCATATTTAATACTGTTCTACTGATTACATTTATTCACTGTTTTACTGTGGAAGACTTAAGGCAATGAACCCCACAGGCCAGACAATTAATGTTAATCAGGCAAACGTTAATGCAGAAAGAAACCTGCCTTCCACCTCACAGGAGCACCCACAACAATCCCCACCTAAAATCTTCACCTGTTCACTTAAAAGGCCACAAGGCTGTGGCGTGGGGTAGGACAAGCTAGCATATACATTATAAACGTGGTTAGGTGCTGAGGGTGTCAGCCTGGATAGTAGAAAGAGCTGAACGCAGTCGCTTTTAAATGGTGGACACCAACAATTCCATTTTCTCAAGGTTTTAAGGCCCCTGACCTGCGTTTTAGGCTGCCGAGTGCGCCTGCGCTGAGGCAGGGCAAGTGAACCAACGTTAAACTGAGCAGGAACAGCGTTTAGATCCACTTCTGGAAACATCTTAAGGCTTTAAAACGCACGTTTGGTGAAGATCAGCTAGACTGGTGGACTGGATCAGTATAACCCGCAATTCTCCAGAGTTCAGAACATTCCAGTGTGTGAGATTTTATAGAACTTAATAAAAGTGGCTACCAAAGCTCATAAATAATAAACTCATGTATATAAATCAAGCTCAACTTAGTTTCTTAGTCGCCAGCTTCTCATTTGAATTTTCCGTTCCACCTTAAATGTGGCTGCAGTTACACTGAGGTGCCTTAAATGTAGAACGAATTTCTGAAGTTGGCGAATACGAACCCAACATCATCTCAATAAATGCATCAGTTTACCTCAATAAATAATCCTTGATCAACAAATTACCTCAGACTTTTGCTCGCACATGTTTACTGAGCAGTTAATGTGTAGCACAGCGAAGCTATAATCAGCTGTTGGAGCTGCTGATCGCGTCTCACTGGCTGATCTAATGCTGCGTCCTAAACCACACACTGCTGTACTTCACCTACTACACCAATGAGCGCACTTCTAATGGTATATGCGCTATTTTTGTACACTATTTAGGGTGCTAGTGTGTGGTTTGGAACACGAAAATAATATCCCAGCAGGAAATGTCAGCCGTTTAGATTATAGCTTTTTATAGCACAAATCTAATGAAATAAGGTCAGTACACTCAAATACACTGATTAATGTGCTTTACAAAATGTGTTTTATTATCTTTGCTGGATCGGTTATGGCTTTGTTATCTCATTACAAACCGCCACAGCACCGCTGAGTGACCTTGAAGTTGACAACCAAACTGGTGACGGCGCGATTGTGACGTCATCGAAATACTATCGATAGGAAACTGCAGGCATTAGAATGTTGGGGTTTGCTGCAGAATGATTGGATGGGACAAAGTTATATATGGAATGGCGTCATAATGGCTGTTTGTGACATCATTTGGGAAAACCTATATATTAGGCTGCAGAACATCAATTCTTCACTACTGAACTTACGCATAGAATTGAAAGGTGAGTGCCTCTCGTCCAGTTACAGTAAATATTGCATGGATTATCTAACTTTGTGATCTTTTCATTGTAGTGTCCCAACTAGAAGCGTGAAAATAAAAATGGAAGGTGACTATATGGAGAACGTAAGAACCTTTATAGAATTCTTGGATGGCAAGATCTCTCGATGAAGACAGAATCCCTGTGGCATGGAAGAGGATTCAGGATCAACCAGGTGCTGGTGACTGAGAGGATGGACAGACAGAAAGAAAGAGAGCAGGTAGACAGAATTAGAAAGCGGGAATGAGGACAGTGGGCAGTCAAGGAGGCGTGCCTGGTGTTGCATGTGGAGAAACTCAGTGCTGACCTGACAATAAATGGCTGGCAGTTGGACCAAGCCAGAAAGATGGAAGAAGCATCCAGAGAAAGAGCTGAAAGGTTGAAGGACAGAGAGATTTCAGAGGAAAACAGAATGATCGAGGGAGGAGCCCAAAAAAAACATCAAAATGACTGGATAGAAAAGATGAGAAAAGCTGCTGAGGCGCTGGACAAAGAACATCTAAAAGCCCAGATGAAGAAGCGCATCCAGAAGCTCTTAGTGGCAAAAGAGCAGCTACAGGATGAGCTCCTGATGAAAGATGAAGAGATTGAGGAGATGAGAAAGCAGTGGCAAGCAGAAAAGAAGAAGGTGGATAAGATCTGGGAGATGTCGAATGAGCTTCGCTCCTAAAATCTGGAGGTGAATGTCAAGTACAAGGCCATGATTAAGCAGAAGACAGATGAGCTGGAGCGCGAATGGGAGATGATAAGGGATCCGGTAGCTGCGATTAAGCAGAGCGAGGACGGGATCCTCTCAGCAGTTCCTCTGGTGTTTCTTTCAGAAACACAGGCTGATGCAGGAGCTCCAAAAATGTGTGAGCCAAAACCCGAGTGAAAACATGAGCAAAGAGGAAAGATGAGAATGGAAGATCCAGAAGAAGAAGGCCAAAGAGCTCAAAATGCAAAAGAAGGCTGAGGGGAAAAGGAGAAAGGAGGCCTCAAAGGACGCGAGAGTGAAGAGCAAAGAAAAGATGAGCTTCTGGAAAGCTCTGTGGTGTTGTAAAAGGAGAGAGTGAAGAACAGAATGTATGTTTTTCACTTAAAACATCAATGAACAATAAAAAAGAGACAAATGGAAGTGTTTTTAATGTTTGTCAAAGTGATAATAAGCCAAAGACACTACACTATAAAACAACAAATATCTATAAACAGAAGAAACAGAATCCTAAAAAAAACAGTAACATGTAATCTGGTTATTTGTTCCTTTTTATTTATTTTCCTTAATATTACCTTAATATTTAGTTTTTTTTTTGTTGTTTTTTTTTGTGCAAGAGTTTTGTTGAAAGGAAAGCACTTGGTCAGGGGTGCCCAAACTTTTGCATATGAGTATATGTGTTCTGCTGTGTTTTGGGTTTGAGAGATTACAGGAACAGTCACATGTTGGGCTGAAACTACTGAATATTTAAAGTTTCAGAGCTAATAATTTTAAATCAAATATTATCAGATATTTCATAGCATAAAGAAAAGATCACTTTACTGACTGAGTATAAAAATGTTTTGAGTTTCAAAATAATTGGATCAAATCGTTTTTAATAC